AGTGTGACCCCAGCTGCACCCTTCTCCCCAGTCCCTCCTGAATGTGTCCTCCCAGCTTCACATTCGGTGCACAGGAGTTAGCCTGAGTAACGTGTCAGTCATTTCACCAATTATACCACATACTGTGTTACCCTTGGGACAGGCAAGACATTGCTTCTTGGGTCCCCACATCCTGCACCTCTGCTGGAAAGGCTTGTGATGCTGTGTTCGGTTCTGGGCCCCTCACTACAAGAGAGACATTGAGGTACTGGAGCGGGGCCAGAGAAGGGCACTGGAGCTGGTGCAGGGCCTGGAGTACAGGAGTGATGGGCTGAGGGACCTAGGGGTTTAGTGTGGAGAAGAGAAGGCTCAGGGGGGACCTTATCGCTCTCTACAACTGCCTGACAGGAGGATGGAGCCAGGAGGGGGCTGGTCTCTGCTCCCAAGGAACAAGGGACAGGACAAGAGGAAACGGCCTCAAGCTGCCCCAGGGCAGGTTTAGCTGGAGCTGAGGAACAATTCCTTGCCCAGAGGGTGCTCAGGCCTTGGAACAGGCTGCCCAGGGCAGTGTTGGAGTCACCGTCCCTGCAAGTGGGTAGCCGAGGCCTCAGTGCCAGGGGTTAGTGGTGGCCTTGGCAGTGCTGGGAATGGTTGGACTGGATGATCTTAAAGGTCTTTTCCAACCTGGTTCATTCTATGATTCTGTGTGTCACCTGATGATGTCCCATGAGGAGACCCTGGTGGCCCCCAGCCACCACAGCACGCACCACTCTGCCTTCCCCTGCTTCATCCCCTTCTGAGTACCACCAACTCATGAAAAAGGAACAGTCTCCATCCTAATACAGCTGTGTGACATGATTGTGGGGCAAAGAGAAAAACACATGTACAAGTTCTAAGCTCCTTGAAGTAATTAGATTGCTTTGCTCTCCCCAGGTACCTTTTGTATGATGTAAATCCTCCTGAAGGGTTCAACCTCCGCAGAGATGTGTACATTCGCATTGCTTCTCTTCTAAAGACCTTGCTGCAAAGTGAAAACTGGGTGTTAGTTCTGCCTCCCTGGGGACGTCTTTATCACTGGCAAAGCCCCGACATCCTTCAGGTCCGACTTCCTTGGTCTGAGTTCTTTGATCTCCCAAGCCTCAACAGGAACATTCCCGTCATTGAATACGAGCAGTTCCTTGCAGGTAGAGTATGGAATCATACAATCTACAGTTGACTAAATACTTAAGGTGGTTTCTTCACAGGTTTATCCTTGTATATGCTGTTATCCTTTCATGTGAAATAAAACTCCACACCTCTGCAAAGAGCTCTGAAGGGATCTCTGTCCATTACTTTCTAGGAAAAAGCATTTATAAACCCTGATATTAGGGCAAAAAGGGTTTGTACTTGTCATTTTCTTGGAGGCAGTCTTCCTGCAGCAGCTACCTACAGCCTTGAAAACCTCTCTGCTTCATGGTGTGTTTTACCTAGCTTCTAAATGTACATTCCCACAGTAATTCAGTTCTGTCTGGCACATTAAATCACGCATAGCTGAGTGAGAGTAGCAGGTTGTCACATCCCCTGACCCTTTGAGCTTTTCTGGCTCACGCAGAACTTTTTTTATAGAGAAAACGGGAGAGTAGTCTAATGTTAGCATTTCTAGCAGAGTTTTAACTGCAGGCAGTGCTACTTCATACCTTTAGTGTGGTTTTTCATGCTCACGAATGCTTTGCCTCCTGCTCAGAGTCAGGTGGGCCCTTTATTGAACAGATTTACATCCTACAAGGCTACGCAGAAGGATGGAAAGAAGGAACATGGGAAGAAAAAATAGATGAAAGGCCATGCATTGATCAGCTTATGTACTCCAAAGACAAACACGAGTACTACAGGTAACATCTAGCAGTCCTTTTAGTCTTCTTTTTGTTGTACGTAGTGAGACATTTGCCTGTGAATCAGTATTTTGTATTCCCTTTCAGGGGATGGTTCTGGGGTTACGAGGAAACGCGGGGCCTAAATGTCTCTTGTTTGTCTGTCCAAGGATCTGCCTCTATCGTGGCTCCCATCCTTTTGAAGAACACTTCAGCACAGTGAGTTGCCTTGTGTTACTATGTCTTGTATTGTGTGCCCACAAAACCATTGCCAGGTGGGAAGAGCAGGGGGAGGTTACAGGCTATGTGTCACTGTTGTGGTTCACTACTGAGTTACTATAATCCATTAAAGTCATTACACAGGAATTTACACTGTAAGAAACACCTAACTGTAAGCTAGGATAAATGTTGCAGTGCTAAAAGCTAAGAGGAAGTAGCCTTGAGCTCCTTTGTATTCTTTCTCAGGTCGCTAAATGTCCTTGCCACCCTGTGTTTATCTTTCCTTCCTTTACCCTTCAATGCTGGGTTAAGAGGGAACGAACAGAGTGGAATCAGTGTTCCCCACATCTTGGATCATGAGGTGCAGTGCCTGCTCTCCTGTGATGTCCATCCTCAATAGTGTGAGCTGGGTTTAGAGAAAGCAAGCATCATGCTTTGTCTTTCTGCTGTGAGATGCCACTAGGATAATCAGAAGAAAGGAAGGCAAAGCTCTTACATGAGAGATGGAGCTTACATTATCCCAGTAGCGAAGTATTTCCAGTCAGCTGTGGCGCTATAACAAACGATGACACTGAAGCAAAGCAAAAGCTGCGTTGCAGTTTTAAGCAAGAAGTTGCATACCAGAATTAGTGGTGCAGCTGCTTCATCCTTGGGTTACTTGACAGCTGTTGGCTGAACACTTGCTGGGTGTTGGCCATCTGTTGGTTCATTTTGTCCTGCTGTTCCATTGCTGGACACTTCCTGTGGATGCTTTGGTTTGAGACATGTTCTCTCTTGAGATCCCCTGTAGAAAGTAGTTCTGGCATGTGGATCTTCCCAGCTCCACCACCTAGTGCAGAAACTCATATGAGATGTTGCTGTTGTGATGTTACTGTCTCTAAGTGCTTGCTAAGCCTTTAATTCCCTTTTTCTTTGTATTGGAATGAAGACCTGTTATTAGAATTAGAGGCTTTTATTTCTTCATGCTCAAATTCTTTTTTTAGCATCTTTTACTGTTTAACTTCATGGAGTTCATGAGCTGTTCTGTTTTTTTCACTTGGATACTTATGCATTTTTACATAGTCCCCTATTTGAAACTGAATGCAACTGCAGCAACGTTTGTTTGGCCGTTGTCGATCCAGTAGGATGTTGAAGATGAGTACATTTGTGGCCCCTGTGACAGAGTAGCTCTTCCACTGTGAGATTTTGGGCTGTGTCTTGCTGCAGCTCAAGACAATGTCAGGAGCTGCTCCCTGCCCAGCTGGTTGATGGAACTGCCTTTGAGTGTCTCAAACTGCAGTTGCTTAGTCACATCCTGCTGTGACACTTGCCCTTCCTACCTGGGGATAGGTGAAATCATAGCTGATGGCTACGGCAACCTGCACCTCTCTGATCTCCCATATTGCCCTTTTGGCCAGACAATCAATTGTATGGTCCTAGTACTATCACTCTTCAGGTGTGTAATCTGATTCACCTCCGAGCAGTGCTGCTTCTCCACCAGCACAATCTAGTCTTTTCCAGATTAGCCTTATGTGCAAGTGTCCAGCTGATTATCACAGTGATAATCTGAAACTGATTTGTTATTTCCTTCCTCTCATTTTAGTAGAAGGTCCAGATAATGACTTTGACCCTCTTCAGCAGAAGCGTTTCTCTGTGTGTTCACTCATATCGAGTGTGCTCAGAGCACAAACTGAGCCTACATCCTTTATGTTCTTGGCTACTCAAAACTCTCTTTTTGCTTCTTCCAACATAGTGCAGTTCATGTTTCCAGTACACGATCCTGAGCTGTGTGTGTTTATGAAAAGGACAGGCTGTTTTCATGTTACATGTTTTTGTAGTGTCTTGTGTCCTCCTTGATCTGTTGTTTTACTGCAGGATATTTTATTCCGCATGTGGAAAACATCTCTGGTTTTGCTGTCATGAGCATAACCCATGCTTCCTCCAAGAGGCTCTCACATGCTCAGAGGCCAAGCAGCATCTTATAGGTCACTTTTCCCCTTTGGATCACTCTCCCTGTTGGCAGTCTTATTTCTCCAGCAGCAACTACTGTGAGGACTATGAGAGGAGTTGTTAATGCTTGTTTGTGTTTAACTGTCAGATTTAAGAGTACCACTAATTAAGGAAGAGAGCAGGAACACACAGTGGCACAGTTCCCTTCTCTCCCAGCAAGCAATGAGTCACAATGTGCTTTACACAGAAGAGATTGGCAGCCTGTCCCTAATTTCCCTCTGTGCTCCCCTTGCAAACTGGTCATAGTCTGTGCTTTATCCTACCAACTGTATCGTCATAATGGATATTCTATTCCTGAGGGCACTGCACTCAGTTTTACAATTTTTAATAGGTCAGTGATGTTAGACAGAGCTGAAAACCTTCTTCATGACCACTACGGAGGGAGAGATTATTGGAATGTGAGTATTTTCCAGTCAGCTTCTCTAGCTTTTCTACTTGCTTCTGATAACAATTCAATGACTGAGATGTGCTTAAGTGTTGCTTTGGGTTTCTTTTCTTGCAATAACTTGTGTCTTATGTTTCAGCAACGTATGATAAAGATGGTCTTCAGGCTGCTGTTGGTTAGTGTAATGCAGATATTTGTCCTGCCATCTTGTCCTCAAAGATTCAGTGCCTCAGGACATGGTGTTTAGAAGGACAACATGTCTGCAGTGAGAAGGGATCTGCCTTCGTGCAGTTTCTTGTCTAGGCAGCCTCAAGATCAGAGTTTTCAAAGGAATTCCTGGAAGTGCTCGGTATTGTGGTAACTGTCTCCCCATTGGCTTCAAAGGCAAAATTCCACAGGTTTTAAGGTAATGCTGAGCACTTTGGGAGACCCCAGCCAAGGGGTCTGTGGTAAAATAATTGCTATGTGAAAAATGTTAAGGCAAAGTTAAAGGTTCAGCCAGAGGAAAACTGAACACAATATGGAGAGCTTGGTACTTGATAACACTTCTAAGAGAAAGAGACTCTCATATTACTAAATAACTTACATAGACCTCAGGCTTGTAAGATACAAACACAGAATTAACTAGATTGGAAAAGACCTTTAAGATCATGGAGCCCAACTGCTACCCAAGGTATATAGACCATGTCAGCATCTGACTATTCACTTTGTACATGGCATATTTTTCCAGAAACGGACCCAACAGTACTTTGCTAATTACTATTTTTCATTGCAAGTGACTTTCCAGGCAGAGAAATGCAATCCAGGTATCATTACAGTCGTGGTCCTGTAAAAGCAGACATGAAAGCCATCACACACATTTCTTACCAGTGGCACTGTAAACATCACCTCAACAATTTAAATTTGTCTCAAAATTATTTAACACTTTGTGGAAAAATAGGCTTCTTTCTTTTATTTCAGTTTTTAACTACCTGCATGGTTGGTGGTGGTGGGGTTTTTTTCTTAATAGCTCTGTGGACAACATCTGGAGTTCTTTTTAATCTTGCTAAAATACACCATTTTGTCTCAAAGAAGTTTTCAAATTGGAACAAGCCAGGTTTAGAGGTGTTTGACACAAGCATAGCATTCAAAGGTGTTCATTGTCCTTGCCAGTGCCTTGCACTGTCATGGGTTATGTACACGTTTGCTGCCTCTTGGGCATATCATGTTCATCATAGCTTGGGTAAGGTACCCAAAGGCTTGAGTGACAGGCATATTGTGTTGACATGTTACAAAAAGAAGGGAAAATGTCTGTCTCTGAACTGCAGTGTGAGCATTCTGCAGCAGACACTGTCTGCATCCTTCCCTTGACAGAGAATCATAGGATCACAGAATGGTTTGGGTTGGAAAGGACCTTAAGATCATCTAGTTCCAACCCTCTGCCATAGGTGTTTTGTCTTACAGGTGTTTTGCAAACTAAAGTCTTTGCCCAGCTTTTGTTTCCAAAGGTGAGGTATATTGCTAGAATGGTTAAATTGGGTACATTATGTTCTGTTGTGCAAATAACTAGTGTAACTCTGTACACCTCTGTATTGCAGGGTCAGACATATGCTGGTTATAAATGTAGTTATGAGTAAGGTTAAACAGTTAAAGCTCAGATGAAAGGTTAGAAATTGCTGCTTGTGCTGTATGGATGTGTCAGAAGTAACTGCATCCTGGACGCTCAGTGTGTGTGAAACTATCTCCATTTGGTCATTTTTAGCTCTCCCTTTTTCTCATTCCACATCTGCTCTTCTTCCAACAGACCCGTCGGAGCATGGTGTTTGCTAAACACCTCCGTGTAGCAGGAGATGAGTTTAGAAACAGATACCTTCACTCCACTGATGAGGCAGACAGGACTCACTACAATGAGGACTGGACACAGATGAAGGTAAAATCACAGCAGTCTGTTTCCCGTAACAAATGTAATCATTTGTTTTGTTTTATTTGTGTACTCCGGGCTGTACACTGCATGTGAATCTACCTCTCCCTGCTCAGGTTGAGGTGGATGTCCATGTTTCTACTGCACCCTCTTCTCCCTCGTGACATGAGTTAAAGGAGACTGACTGCTTCTGGGTGCCAGCTTTCTGTCGCCCTCGCTCCACTTGTATTTCTTCTTGTATTCAGCATCATCAGTGGGTGTAAAGTTCAGCTGCAAACTGCCAGTTGGGGATTTGGTCAAGGAGAGCAATTTTTGCATACAAAGATCTCACACTCTAGTTTCTCTCATATAATGCAGTTACTCATGATCAAAACATCACAATGTGTCCCAAAATAGTACCAGCCCACACCTGCAAGTTACTTTTGCAGCTGGAGTAATTCAGTGCCATATCCAGAGATTCAGGCCTTTTCAGTGTGAATGAATAGTGGTGCTCTCAAGTCTTAAAGTTTACTGATCTTTCTCCCTTAGGTTAAGATAGGCACAGCTCTAGGTGGTCCATACCTCGGGGTTCATCTCAGAAGGAAAGACTTCATCTGGGGTCACAGAGAAGATGTGCCTTCCCTGCAAGGAGCTGTAAAGAAAATCCGCAGCCTCTTGGAGAAGCTTCAACTTGAAAGAGTTTTTGTAGCCACTGATGCTGTTGAGGAGGGTAAGCAGATTATAGTCAGTTTAGGATTGATAACTTTTGACAAGGGCTGCAATTACCACTCTGCTTCCATAAATGACTGGAACTTCATGTGTCTCCATCACTGAATGGGGGAATTGAGCAGGATTGGGCAGCTACTTCCTTCCAGCTTGAATACCATTCATTTGGTATTTCCCTTAGGAGGTTTGATGGTCTCTGCAGTGGGAAACTGGGAATTGAATTTGTCTGTTCCTCCTCATTCTTCCATCCCACCTTCTCCCTTAGCACTGCAGACAGTCTTGGACATTCTGGTAGGAAGGGTCCTCTGAAGCCTCCATCCAGCCTTCCCTTGGTTGCCCCCAGTTCCACACTGGGATGGACCTCGCTGTGTGTGGCTAAGGCTTAGACACCCCCACCAGTGGCCTTCCCCTCCCAGGCCTTATCCCAGGGCCACTCCTCCCTCCTGGTGGTATATAGGGATCTGTTTCAATACGGGATGTTAGAATAACCCTGCAGGGCATGGCATTGGCAATAGCAAGTCTGAAGCTTGCTGTCAAGAAAGGCCTCTTGGTACAACTACCCTGTAGGATTAGACAGCAAGGCTAGTGGTAGCATTTGTTCTACCCCTTACAGGCTTCCCCAGCCTTGAGAATTGCTCCCCTCAGCACCATATTCCTGCCCCAGTGAGTCCTCTCCCTCTGCAGTACTCTGACATTGGCAAACACTGCAAAATCTGTGGGTAGCTTTTGGTTTCTCTTGCTTTGTAACTGTGCACCCAGGCTTTCCTTGAACACATTTTATGACAGCAGCAAGTTGCTCTTTACAATGTCAAAATAGATTTGCATCTTTCCCTTTTTCAGAGGTTGAATTGCTCAAGAAACTGCTGCCTGAGATGGTGAGATTTGAACCCTCTTGGGAGGAGCTGGAGCTCTACAAAGATGGGGGCTTGGCTGTGATTGACCAGTGGATCTGTGCACATGCAAGGTAGCAAATTTGACTTCATCAAGGAACCAAATCTTAGTGTCACTAAACTGAATATTGGTTTTGATCCCAACAGAGTTGTTTGCAAGTCATGTATGACATGATTTTATGTAATTGATTTATACCTATAATAGATGTCTAATAGGTCACAGTCTTGCCAAGCTGCACCAGAGACAGGCCAAGGGGGAATGGCTTTATCCTGCCAGAGGGGAGATTGAGATGAGCTCTGAGGCAGAAGCTCTTCCCTGGGAGGGTGCTGAGGTGCTGGCACAGGGTGCCCAGAGAAGCTGTGGCTGCCCCATCCCTGGCAGTGTTCAAGGCCAGGTTGGACACAGGGGCTTGGAGCAACCTGCTCTAGTGGAAGGTGTCCCTGCCCGTGGCAGGGGGTTGGGACTGGATGAGCCTTAAGGTACCTTCCAACCCAAACCAGTCTGGGATTCTGTGATAATAAGTACATTGTGTATATATATCATACATATGATAATTTCATTTTCATTTAATTTCAGTGATCATTAAAGTTCATTGGACTGAAACCAATCACTTGCATTTTAAAACCTGGCCCATTCATCAACCCTTTCTGCTTTTTTTTCCCAGGTATTTTATAGGCACCTCAGTTTCAACGTTTTCCTTCCGGATCCATGAGGAAAGGGAGATCTTGGGATTTGATCCAAAAACAACTTACAACCGGTTTTGTGGTGAAAAAGAGAAAAACTGTGAGCAGCCAACTCACTGGAAAATTGTGTACTAAAATAGAGAATTCCAAGGACTGGTGAGCACAAAAGGATATGGAAACACCACAGGGAAATACCTCCCTTTGACCAAACTACAGCTCTGTCGTTTACCCTCTTCTTGGTGTTTACTTGATATTTTTGCTTTGAAGAACAAGCAATATTCACCTTCTTAGTCAGGCAGTGATGGGAGCAAGAAAACTGCAGTCAGCCCAGCCTGGGATCCAGTTCTTGGTATAGCCACGAATAGAGAACACCACCAGACACTGCAAGTGAGACTTGAAAAGTAAGACTTTGTTCTGAAACCAAGTACCAAATGAAGTAAATCACAGCTTTCTTCAGAGTTCTGAGGAGGAAGAGGAACAGTTTTAACTTTTGTAAGTTAACATACTGTATTTCTGTTTTTATTTTTTGTCCTGTTCAGTGTTTGCCTCTCTGATGGCAAAAGAAAATACATCTTGGTTTTGTGACCTGCACTATATGAGCTGCAGGTCGTGTGGAAACTCTGCCATTCTCTAGGGAAGTCTTCCCTCTTCAAGTAGTATTTTGTGAACGTTCAAATTGTCTGATGCAATCGGTGCTTGATAAAAGAAAAGGAGGAGGTGTTTTGACCTGAATACCAACTGCAGCCTCAGTGGGTCTGTGCTGAAAGAGGCAAAAAGATGGGACTTGTAGGCTCGTTAAAGAAAGGTTCTGTTTCTTCTTACGTTTTACCTTCACAAAGGAAACTTCTTCACCTCATTGTAGTCCTGCCAAAGGCCTGCTCAGCTGCACTGATGTGGATGTCAGCACCCTTTTGGGCTCATGCAGTTGCTCAGTTCAGTGGGGGTGATGGTTTGCTGGGGAGCAGGATCAGGAAAGTTTCCATGTCAGTCAGATGGGTTGTCCCAGTGATTCAACAAAGGAATTTCCTGCACTTCTCCTTTCAGTTTATGCAAGGGAGTAAACTGAAGACAATCACAGATAGGGAAAGTCCTTGGGCCTTGAGATGATGCATGTAAACCATCTTCTGATAGGTGAGGTTGTGCTCTGATGGAGATGCTGATTGTTGGTACAGGGGGAGAACCCTGTGCTATGCCACCAGCCACAAGTGAAATGCAGCTCCCATTTGTGGAGGGCTTTGTAGGGGGATCTGCTGTAGCTCTTGCAGTCTCCTGGTCTGTAGAATTGGTTCCTGGGATGTATTCTGCTTCACTCCATGCTTCAGGTGGGTCTTTTACCCCGCAAGTCTACATGGCTCTGTTAAGCAGGACAAGCCTTTCTCAGAAGTGGACTAGGAGAGAGATTTCAAAAGGTGAAGCAGACACTGCTCCTTAAAGTCACTATTACCAAATTACCTCGCTGCCAGTGGACCCTTTTGCTCTTTCCTCTTGGCTTGAGTAGGAGCACATGGAACAGTCCTGCAGCGGACATCTCACAGATGCTACCAGGCAGTGATGTTGTTTCCTCCTGTGCAAATGCAGCAGAAGCTGGGAAGACTTCTCAGGCAGTAGTAGCAGCAAGTTTCCTGTTCTTACCACTGTATTCCTTCATAGCAGTGCCTTTTCCCACCAAGTCAAATGTCTTCCTTTAACCTGTGCACCATGGAAAGCGGTGGTGGCATTTTCTGTGTAATGTATACCTCAGTATGACCAATAAAAAGCTTTGTAGCATTTTATGTGGTGTGTCCATGCTGCTTCTTTCTAACTGTACATTTTGCTGTCTCCTGGCTCCAGCGAAGGTGAAACCTGGATAAAATCTGAGTGTCCTGACAAGGCTGTATTAGCAAGCACAGCCTACATGACCCTTCTTGGCACTAAGAGACGGGTAAGTCTCAGTCCTCCCCATTGCCAGAAGGATGTAGATAAACAGGAGAGAGTCCAGAGGAAGGCTGCTAAAACCTGCCACAAGGAAACTTTGCACAGCCGTGGTAGGAGCCTGCTGCGTTGGCTTTTAATCCAGTGCCTCTGCTCTTGGCCGCTGGGCTGTCAGCATCACCTTTCTGTCACAAGGTGGAGACAGCAAACCAGGCTGGAAAGTGTCCCTGGCTGTGGCAGGGGGTTGGAACTGGATGAGCTTTCAGGTCCCTTCCAACCCAAACCAGGCTATGTATCACGGGGATTCTGGGCATTTGCAAAGCCTGGAAATGAAATTCAGAGCCCAGGTGTTTGATGATAGAATCACAGAATGGTTCAGGTTGGAAGGGACCTTAAAACTCATCCATTTCCAACCTGTGAGGCTGCTCTGTGCGGTCCCAAGCCCAGGATCCCTCCATCTCCCTTTGTAAAAGCTGTAGTTTCAGAGCTGAAGTTGGCAGCTTCAGCACTCCCCCCTCAGCTTAGTTCCCCATTAAGTCTTCAGGATGTATCCAACACTACACATTTAAGGACAAGCACAGCATTCTGTGACGTTTCACTGAGGGTTTTTTTGCTCCCACTAGTGCTAGCACCATACAAAAGCAATGATGAAACTTAGCAAGGATATAGCTCTTCATATTTTCAAATCTCTGTACAAACATGAACTAAACAAAGCAAGGTAGTATCCAAAACAGTCATTGCTTAGGATAACCGAGGGGTTGTGCTTCAACAGTGATAACAGCATAGGAACAAATGTGCCTTAAGGAAAGCAACAAACCAGAGGTAAAGTGAGGTCCTGTCTTCAAAATTGGGATTATGAATGGAGGAAGTAACTGTTGAGGACAGTACCTGAGAGTAGCCTTTAATATCCTTATACCAGGTAGGTAAAGCTATTGTATTCACACTGTCACACAGGAAGACTGAGGAAGAATAACTGCTTAATGCAAATAACAGAGCAAGATACATATATTTGGATATATAAATATATATTCACACACACATTTGATCCTAGATTTGTTAAAGACGTCTCAACCAACTACAACAAAACTTGCCTTGGTAGGAGAGTGATGAAGGTAGTAAGAATGTCAAAACCACTGCAGCAACCTCAGCTGTGTATCTGTCCCTCCAGAGAACAAAAACTCTTCTGTATCATTCCCCTGCCCTCAGTACTGAGAGCAAACACAGCTCTTAATGCCTCTTTTCCAGACACTGCCACATACCTACAAAACACACCTACCCCTAAACCATCCAAATGCTGCTGGCATAACTAACGGGACAGACCTTTGGCTGCAAAGGTTCTAAAAACCACTCCACATTGACATGATCCAAGGAGAAACTCGGGTCCTACCTGTTCTCCAGCAGCTCTGACAGATTGAGGCATCCACCACCCCTCTGGGCAACCTGTGCCAGTAACCAGCCATGAAAAGATTTCTTTATGGTGAGGAGAAGACCAAACCTGCCAACTGCACAGAAACCTCTGTTGGACGTTCCTAAGCCCAGAGAGTCACGTTTACCATCACTACACAAGGATGGGTGGGCACTGTGAGTGCGATAACGTCTGCACTGCTGGGGGAGAACAGTTGCCAGCAAGGTCCCACACATGATACACTCACACACAAGTGGTAAGACACAATCTGTAGTTATTACCAGGTCCTGAGTACAGCCATGACCCATATTTCCAGTGTTAAACATTGGGCCTAAGTTTTCTTAAAACAATCCCACGGAACATACATATTTCATACACCTATGTTTAAAATGATCTATTTTACTAACCTACAAACTTCATCCAGACTGTCACCTGGGGAGAAACACCTGCAATTCGATTTCAAGTATTCACCAACGTGAAAGTTGTTGCTTTAAGTCGTTTGAAGATCCTGAGACAAATACTCATATGCAATCAAAGAGAAGGGGAAAATAAATAGCTTTAAAAGAAGTAAAGCAGCTCCCACAGGAGCACTGCAGGTCCCAGTGCAAGCCAGCTCCCACCCACCCACCCCAGGCTTTACAGACAAGACCCCAACCCACCATGGAGACTTGTAGCTCCCAAAGACAGGTCAGCCACAACGTTCAGCAGTTGTCTTGCCTTCTGCAGTCACTGGAAACTATATGAATCACTCTGAATTCTTGCTCAGGGAGAGTAATCTGTGGGGAACATGGGAGCATCAGCAAGCACAGCGATGCCACATATGAAGTGCACAAAAAGGAAGAAGCGAGTGAAGGAAGCCAAGCAGTACTTTATTGACTCCCAGAAGACAGATATAGATTTGCATACAATCCTGGAAAACTTTTTTAATACTTTTTAAAATCCCGGAATTATAAACAAGAGAACTCATTCCTCATAAATAACCTGACACCATTCCTTCATCAAAAGGGTTTGGCATGGAACATTACTTCCTTTTACAGTTTCATTTCCATCGTTCATTAGAACAGTTTAAAAAACTATGTCTATAAATAATACTTAAATATATTGCTCATATTTGTGACTTCATAAAAAAAATAGTTTGAGCTAATACTTTCCTAGTCATCAAAAGAAAAAAAAAAGGATCCAGAGAGACACCAACTTTTGAATGAGCACTTCAGAAAGATGGGTGAAAATAACTGGCTGGAGATGCTCAACAGACTTCATCTATCAATAGACTGAGCCCCTTCAAAATGGGTGTTTCACACAATTTCAGTAATGATTTCGAGAACAGCACACGATGTGAGCAGCTTCCCCTCGATCTTGTGCACACCCAGCTACAGCCACCAACAGAACGGCACCATGAACGAGACAAGGTTGATCTCAAAGGCAGATGTGCAAAATCTATTTAACCACATACAGTTAAATCCCTTTTACCTTGAGAATAGGTCAGTCTAAGCCTCAGTCAGATGAGGAGGACAAAAGCTTTGTCGGGCTTGCAGAGGCCATGGGAATGCTTCTGGATTTACTGAGGAGTGGACAGGATGGCTGAAGTCACCAAGGAAGCTGGATAAACACAGCCTGTCCACTGCAGCTTGTGACATTTGGTCCTCTGGCATCTGGAAAAGGCATCTGGAAGCATCAGACTTTTCCAAGGGGATCACTAGGCCACAGCCTTGCTGGCCCTCCCAGAGCTGTTACCAATACCACCACCAAAACTGCATTGTCTGAACCTCAGTGTGTTACTTCCAAAGACACTAACCCAGAGGCTTCAACTAATGCACAAGTGATTTTCAGGCTTGATCACTTTATGAGGTTGGAAATGGGCTCCTACTTGAGCAATAACGAACCAACACATTCTCTTGGCATTCATGCTTGGTAGAGGTGCCTTTACATCTCCAGCACCCCAAGTGCTTGTTAAACCCCCAGGAGATGTTGGGATTGAAGGACAGTAAATCCAGTTACAGCTTCAGGATAGACTGCCTCTGGCCATGAAGCTGGCTGAAGGGACGCACAGCTCCTCTCCACTGCCTCTGCAGATGCACCAGCACAACTCTAAATCGGATCTCTGACCCAATGTGGGTCTAAAAGTAACCCTTGACTTGACTTCAAAGCACGGACCAGCCCGCTGATCTGATGTCCTGTGCAGCACGGGCAAGGGACAGTAGAACAGAGAACAGGACCCAACAGCAGGAACAGTGGGGCACCGACTGGGTTCTGCCAAGCAAACTCCCATGTCACGAAGCATCACCTTCATGGTCTGCAAAGGGAACATGGAGGATCTCTGAGATGCTCTTCGGAAAGCACGGGTGATACCTGGATGGGCATGAGCCAAGTGTTGTGTTTGGACACACGCCATGTGAGCAGAGAAGCGATACTGGATATTGTCTCATCTGCCCCTACATATCACGTCCTAAAAAGTGTTTTGAAAAATGTCTTCTATACACCAGTTAATCAAACTGATCTCACAATATTTCCTTTCTATCCTACATTTTTACATAAAGCAGAAGTGTCTACACCTTTAGGAAAAACACCTTTCTAAGTAATCATCAAAGCAAACGAAAGCACATTTTGAGAGCAACTTACCTAATCAGCTCCATGAAGACCATCACACATGTAAACACAAAAGGCAATGAAACCTCAGAGACACAGCAACTTGGGTGAAAACAGATGTAACACAGGAAAGAAGTTTTAACAACTTTTTGTCCATACAAGAACTTCTGATTTCCAAGAGGAGAGCAATTCAATACCCAGGAAGTGACTGGTTTTGGCAATTCAGGCCCTTAAAATGAGCAATTTCCTTTTCAAGTTGTCATATTACTGCTAGGATTGTATTGTGGTGAGTTCCTGGGATATACAAATCACCTACTTCTAAACACGTTCCTGCACATTATAGACTAAACTTCTTAACTTACGAATAATTATTTTGTTGTTTCCAGTTTACAATGGTAAAAAATAAAACATGAAGACTTCACAATGTGTGTAAATGGGAGGTAAATGTATTTTTAAAAACAGAATAAAAAGCTGCATGTTAAAAACTGGGTCACAGACTAATAAATACATACATCAAAGACATGAAATTCTCAGCAGCTGGTTTTCAAGAGCAAGGAAGTGGGGAAAAACTAGCTGTCCAGACTCCATTCTGGCTCTGTGGTCTATATGCTAGAAATACCTGCAGTTGAAACCCAAGTTAAGGGAGAAGCAGAATCAGCTTTGTCACCTATTTTCTTTAATAAAAAGAAAAAATAAGCTACTTCCTAAAAATGTGGTGGAAAACCTGGAGAAACTTTCTTCATGCACTTGATGCCATTGAATGTAAAAAAGAAATGATTTTAACCCAGAAAAAATGAGTCATTGTGTACTGTAAGAAGAGCCTTACTGCGAGTTTTCTACAGTGAAAGTCTTTCTAGAAATACACCAGAAACTACTTTCCCGTAACAAAATATACAAGTATGTGTCAGACCAGCATTGAGTTTCAATACTCAGGCAAAACAGAAACAGTTACTATGAAGTTTCAAATAAAAAACAAAGGAAAAACCCAACTCCAAACAGGATAAAAGATGTTCTGACGGCTGAGGAGATGCCAGAAAGCAATGCTGGACACCAGGAATTTCCAGAACAACCCCCTTTCCAAAGTGATGTGCAGTCTGTGAATTAAACTGTGAGAGAAAACTGATCCTGTTCGATCGGCTTCTCCACCCAGGCTCCAAGTCCTGCCTTCAGGAATGCTTTAAACAAACACTCTTTGGCAGTTTGATACTCAGTGGCTCCTTGCTTGGTTTCGTGGTACACGCTAGGCTTGAGGATCTTTGAGCGCAAGCTGGAGGAAAGCTGTGTGGAGAAGAGAGACAAGAACCTATTAAATCACAGTTTGAGAGTGAGTTATTAAGAAACCCTCTACTATTAAAGCTAGATAATGAACTACTAAAGCAAATGTTCAAAGGCAGGCAAGTACAGCACTGCTCCTTCCAGCCACTGTGGCTCTGCACCCAACTGCACTGTTTGCCTCTTCCAAAGCACCATGCCACTCTGAGCAGACTCACCAGCTCGCCTGCCTTTTGCTTTCTCTGGATTATTGGCTTCTTTTGGTGGAAGCAATCTCAACATTAAAAGCTACTGACAGATCCTGTGTTGTAACTTTTCTTTCTGAGAGGACAGAGCAAAACCTCAGCAGGCTGGACTGCACTGCAACTGGGATTATCCTTCCAAATAAATTAAAATGAGAAGGCAAACTCAAAGGAGATAGCACCCTTTGTTTACTCAGCTAGAAACCAAGTATTATTAGATCCTTGCATGTATATTGGATCAGACATCACCAAATTGAAGAATAAGCTCCAAAACAGCATTGTTCTTTTCCATGACTACAGGGAGCAATAGCTAACATAAGGCTCAGCTTAAAACAGGCTCAGAATGAGGTTTCTGAACACAGAAAGCAGCACTTGGAGATACTTTATTAGGAATTAAGGAGTGGGAAATGCAGAACTCCAGCAGATGTACCTTTGCATGAATACGCATCCAGCGGCTGTAGAAAGCATGCTTACAAAGGCGAGATGCACGACCCATTTCATCTTTGCCAGTTGTAGCATTAATGACCTCAAGACCAGTGTCTCCTACTGTCCAGTTCACGCTGAAGTTTGGTGCTTTCCCTGGCTGACGGGCTTCTGCATTGCTAATACCTGAAAGAAAAGTGATGGTTAATGCCAACAAGAAATACTAACTCATGAGTTTTGTTTTTACTGGGGAGTAATGGATACGGCAGAGCTATGAAATCACATCACTGAGAGTCTTACAAGCAGATCTTTTATCCTGAGGATATTCTCCTGTAGATTTGTCACTAACCTTGGAGATATTGCCATGCACACTTCATTCTCATCCTGCCTAAAGTGCTCTCTCCTCCTGTACTTCCCAGCAAGGCTGTGATAAATCAGCCTCCTCAGCAGAGGGGTTCATGGAGAGGTCTGTGGGCATGGTCCATGGGGACACTAATTTTATGAGCACCTTGCCACAGCCATCTAAGGAGGATCTGGTCTTGCTGACAGGGCAAACCAGTGAACTAATTATTAACCCGACAATAATTATGAAGCAGGAAAAAAAAGTTGCTCTGCTCCTGCACAAGAAGCCACTGCTCTCGGAGCCCCCTCAGTTGAGGGACAAGTTGAGCATACGGAAAAGCAGATACTGTGAGGTTTTGGCAGTTGAAACTCCCCAGTTGATTCCCTTTCACTCTGCTGCTGTAAAAATGTAGGTGCATGTTACTTATCTCATTTCAAAACGGGTGTGAAACACTGGTCATGTTTAAACACAGTTACAATTCAGTAGCAACCTTGGACTGCAGTCTTATTTGGAGAGGTCATGCTGATTTAGAAGTGCCTACAAAGTGCTTTTTCACTTTCCCTCATAAGAACAGAGTTAGGTCAGAGCAGGGACAGCAGAATGCCCTAAAAACCAAGGCATGAAGGTGGCTACAGTTCAGTAGCAGTTGAGTGATCTTCATTAAAAGCTATCAATCTTTTTCCTCCTTCTCCCAAACTACACTGGAAAATGGCTTGACAAGCACAGGCAGCAGCACTGATGCAGTGGGCATCCAAGTTGGGATGAGTGAGCCCAACCCTCAGCATCCTCTGCAGAATGTCAAAACTGGCCTGTCAGCATAAATCCAGCTGTGCTTCAGCTGCCTCCCCACTCCACATGCCTATTGCTACTTACAGTGCCTAGAAATGGTAAACCACAGGACTCAGAAAAGGACTTGAATAATTTTGCTCAGATGTTAAATTGGGCAACACCTATCAATGATAGCTTCATCTCTACTGATGGAGAAGCAAAGCCACTAGCAGTCTAACCCAAGGGTGAAGCAAGGCCTAGGGCAGGATTTATTCCCCCACAGGACCCCAACACTGCAGAGATGCACTGTATGCAACGAGCACCGTACCACACTTGAAGATCATGGCAGCTGCTGCCATCCACGGGCAGCTCTTGTCCTGAATGTGCTCTGCACTCACAGGCAGCACCCATGACTGCAAGTTTGGGTTGTGTGTGCTATGGAAAACTGGAGGAGCACATCAGGTTTGATTCTGCAGATGTTACAGGCAATGGAACAGGCTGCCCAGGGCAGTGGTGGAATCACCAATTCTGGAAGTGTTCACAAACCCTGTAGATGAGGCCCTCAGTGCCATGGGTTAGTGGTGGCCTTGGAAATGCTGGGGAACGGTTGGACTTGATGATCATAAAGGTCTTTTCCAACCTGGTTGATCCTATGATCTACAGAGGTGGAAAAACTCTACCTTTAAGATATCTCAGTTGTCTCACCAGGAGAGAGCAAAGGAACAGGGTGAGATTTTCTTTCTACTAAGTAAAGATTCCATTTTTCACATTAACACAGCTCTCACTGAGAACCTGTTTCAAACCTACTCTGATGTTCTGCTAAGTCCTACACTTCATAACATCTAGTGAATTTGTATAAATTGAATCTAAGTGTTGCAGCAGGGTTCATTTCTTGCTGATACTTGAAATGCAATCTAATACACAAAGAGCACAGGACTAGCTCACATGGGCCAGGTCTCATGTGAGACCTACAAGGTCTGAGCAACACAGGAACATTCAGTTTGCTGATTGTCACGATCAGTTCCTCCTTTCATAAAGCAACATTTTGAAGTATCAATCACATTGAACTTCCTGAAGCTGTTCTGTCTTTATGCTTGGTTTATGTCAACCTGGTCACTGGTGACTGATAACCAGTGGTTACACGAATAAGTAAATAATAAAAACCAACTTCACTATCCCTCATTCTCTTAAAATATAAGCTGAAAAAAAATTGAGAGTTGGAACAAAAGTTTTCTGAACAGGTATTTTCTGGTTTCTTTTAGGAGAGATGCATCCAGGAACTGAAATACAGCAGGATGCCATGGACCCAGCAATCTGTACATCAGGCTGTGGGATTCACATACTGACCGGCCCAGGAGGGCAGGCAGTAGTCCCTGTTGAGCAGGTACCATCGAGAACATCACACAAGCAATACTTGAGGAAGACCCAACAAGAACAGGGCTTTAAGACAAGATGAGAGTCAAAAAGTCCTCATCACAATATCTGAGGTCCTTCTGAGTGGCTGGCAATGGACATGTGCATCACACCTCCTGAAAACTGCTTATGCACACCTCAACTTGTCCTGTGCCATTTAAGTGCAAACACTCCTACTCCATGAGCCACACAACACATGGCTTGCACTCAAACACCTCAGACATTGCCAACTTTGGGTGCACACAAAATGAAACTCAACTCTGAGTCTTCAAGAGCACATCAATTCAGGCTGCTTTTGTGAAGCTTATGCGAAACAGAACTGTGCTGACAAAACTCTGGATCAAAACTACTGAGGCAAGAGGGCTTAAGAAGCTGCCACCACATGGCAAGCAGGTCAGTCATGGTTTTTCTTCCATGTAATGACATCTGTGCCTTTGTTCCATACACCACTGCCCTATCAGCTAATCAGACATCATCACAAGGAGCCACACGAGCAAATCATGAGGAAGCTGACCATTCAGTATGCACAACATTTCCATGGCAATTACACAGTTGCATTCCTTAGGTTATCTTGCTGAATTAAATACATTCTTTAAAACAGACTTAACCAGAATTTCAAACAGACTAAAATAGCAACACACTGTTCTGCTGCTTCATTATCTGCATGAACCCTGGAGAGATGGCAAAAGAGTCCCTGAAGGTGGATCACAGGTAGTGTTGACAAGGAATAAATGTCATCTCAAAAGCAAAGCATCTGATAACACTTCAAGTGAATCATATCTTCCCCCTCAAAACCTAGACATTAACATAGCATAATAACCTGAAACTAGTAATGGGAGAGAAAGCTAGGATAGAATGTAAAATATTTTGCTCTCCTTTGATACTGAAACTTAGTTGAAAACTAAGCTATTTAGAGAACATTGCTCAGAACTTATTGCTAAGTATTATTATAATGAGATATAATAGGCAAAAAGTCACATCTCTTTGTGCCAGCACTTATATAAATAACAAAGCTTGAGGTTCTTTGAGGACAGAGCTCAAAAAAGCTTCATTAAAAAGGAAAGAGAGAGCTGAAAAACACCAATGTGAGCAGGAGGATCAGGTACCAAGGAAACAGCCAGAAAAATCACCAAAGGTTCTGCTGAAGGATTTATTTTTGTTTAAAAGAAAATAAAAATGTAAACGTAGGCAGAAGTCAGAGGAGTGCTGGGGCATGAACATTTCTAATACCCACCCTTGCTTGTGGTGGTTGAAGTCTTTGATTTTCAACAAGGAAACTAAAGATGAAGCAGCAGGAACAGCAGTTGTGGTACATAACCTCTCATCACAAACCACACGAGTTCTCCAGGATGGAAGGCAGCCAGCATGACTCCAATTTTAAAGGAGTTTAGAGGTGTGCCAGGGAACTGCCAGTCAATAAACACGACATCTGCAGCAGGAAGGCTGCAGGAACTATGATACTGCCCTGCTGGGCACAGATGGAAACCAAACAATATTGGGAAAGACTCAAAAAAAACTGCCTAACTGGAGACTGGAGGTGGCCAGTGTGACACTAATTCTTAGAGAGCCCAGGGAGCAGAATGCCCATCTTCTCAATGTCTACCTTAAAAATAAGACAATGGACAGCTGGATGAAGATGGTCTAGTTGGGAAGAGTCAACACAGATAGAGACCCTCAAGCTCCTTGCAGACCTGGAAAGTGTGTGTTGGAGGAAAAGCCAAGGTGAGTAAGATTGGTGATGATGTAAGTTATTTAAGAAGGTAAATAAGAGAACCATTTGCAAAAAGTAGCAGAAAAAGAGCTAACACAAGCTGAAAGAGAGCTGTTCAGCCTGGAGAAGATAAGGCTTCTTAAGGGGAGAATGTAGAGCAGCTTCCAGTGCCTAAAGGGGCTCCAGGAAACCTGGAGAGGGGCTTTGGACAAGGGTCTGTAGGGACAGTACAAGGAGAACGGCTTGAACCTGCCAGAGGGGAGGTTGAGATGAGCTCTTAGGCAGCTCTTCCCTGGGAGGGTGCTGAGGCGCTGGCACAGGGTGCCCAGAGAAGCTGTGGCTGCCCCATCCCTGGCAGTGTTCAAGGCCAGGTTGGACACAGGGGCTTGGAGCAACCTGCTCTAGTGGAAGGAGTCCCTGCCCGTGGCAGGGGGTTGGAACTGGATGAACTTTAACATCCCTCCCAAGCCAAACCAGCCTGTGATCCAATGATTTTCAAAGGCTGACTCTGAATAGAGTATCTGCTGAGCTCTGCCACCCTGCTTCCATTCTGGGTGAACTCTTTCGTGTCCACCTCCCACACCAGCTCCAAAAAGAGTCTGTGTCGGTTACCCTGCAGACTGGCACTTTGTTACTCACTTACGTATAGACTCATCCTCATGCCATTTGAGAAACCAATCCCTTTTCAGTTTATTCTAGAAAATCACAACATCTGACCCTGTCTTCTCTCAGTGAGCTGGCCAATTCTCAACAAAAGCTCCCATACCCTCAGTGCTAGGGTGCTAAAAGCACACTGAAAGGCTAGGTCCTGCAACCAAAAGGCTTCCAGGAGTAAGCACAGGGAGGAGTTTTCTACCAGCATTCAGGTTTCCAGCATCACCTAGCTGAAAAGCAACCACTCTGATGTGCATGTTCATATGTAACTTGCTGGGAAAATAAGGCTGAAGTAGAAAAATCTCCTACAAGGAAAGAAAAACTATGAAAAGACAGGTTTTAACAGTAGATAACAATAACTCAGCCTGACTTCGACTTAATGCAATTATCCCTGCAGCCATAAAACTTGTTTTATGAGACAAAAAAAGCAGTTTTTACAGTACTTTCTCAGCTAAACAGGTGAGACAGTGGGGAAAAAGCTTCTCATTCGATTCATCCCTCTGGTAGAAACGAGTCACCATCACACAGTTGTGTGTGTGGTACCAGGAGGAACATAGAATTGGGGATTTCTGTGGTGCTTACTCTAGGGAGGAATACAGTGCAAAATATCGGAACTGAAGAGCAGATGGGCAGCTACACAAATGCCCCACTGAATCTAACAGCATGGGTCAGAAGACTGAACCAGTAGAAGAAAATCTACCAAGACAATTCTCTGTCCAACCTTCCAGACCAGCTTCCCATACATTTTGGAGATGTGTATTTCCATGAAAACTCAACACAGAACATTTCTGAACACTCTCTGCTGCTCAGCTAGTCCTGGCTGAGCTGTTTAAACAGATGGTGCTATTTCAGGGCAAATAGATGACATCAATATTGCAGAAAGATGATTTTTAAGAAGACAAAGTACTATTATATGTTGTTGAAACCTCCCCTCACCCTGTCCTGAACCTGCTGTCTTGAAAAGCTAAAGATAAAAATTCCCCAAATTAGATCACACATCAGCTACTATGCCCATACTATTAGATTGGCACTGTGTTTTAATTGTTACTTACTTGCTAATACAAGGAAAAATGTTACTTAACACTTTTGTACATACTAGTTCAGGGAATCCTTATTCATTACCTTTCTTATCTGAAGAAATGCTCATTATTCAATATGCTCTTTTCTCCACTCCCTCCTTAAATCTATTTGAAAAATGCTTTAAATTACTGAAGGGTTTTGGGTTTGGTGGGGTTTTTTTGGGGGTGTGTGTTTTCTTCTGGAAAACAGACACACGCCAAAAGCCAACTTCTACAGAACAAAGCAATGCACATGAGAGGGAGGATGAGAGATTTCAGGTTTGCAACTTTCACAGCACTACTTTAACTAGTAGTTTTAGGATTTAAGACACTTCAGAACTCCCTTTGACAGTCACAGCTCAATTAGAAGTTACGACCTGCTCATTCAAAGACTGCCATTCCTCTTAGCCCCACTAGAGCCTAGGATCAGCTCAAAGCCAAAGAACAGTAGTTAACTGTTCACCAGCAACTGCAGAAGACCACTGCTAACTACCCTGGCTGGGACTTGCCATATTGCTGTCTGTCAGATATATTTAATACTCTTAAAAATACTCCCAAAGAATGTGCCACTGGGCTCTGAATGCTGCATATGTGCATTAACCTTCCACAAAGTGGAAATGAAAGTATTATTGGGTCATACAAACAAGTTGGGTGCCATGCGAATTAAAGCTACTGCTGCATCCAACAGATGAATGATAAAAAGAAAATACAAGCAGTGGCAGCTGAGATGTTCTCTGCATCCATTTTTAGTTTCTTATAGATCTAGAAATGGTGAATCAAATGTGTCTATCTTGACATACTGATTAAGGATGTGGTCATTCAATAGATACCTGCAATGGCAAGAGAAGCAACAGTGACAGCTAACACATTATTTCATGAGTAGGAAGAGGTTTCACTAAGCCAGGGCCTTCAACTTGCCTCACATATTGCTAGGGCATGCTCCAGAAAGCAATCATGTAAACCCACATAGGTTCATACCCCAGTTCTTTCCACCTTCTAACTCATAAAGATGCTATGGTATTTCTGACCAAGTATCTATATTAGGTTTAGAACATAACTTCTCTGTTGTAACCAGAAAGCAGTTTACTCACAGTACATAATTTGCAAGGTTTTGAGAACTGCAAAATCACATTGCTACTGGAACAGACTTAGTTACCGGCACGGCCTTCTCCATTAGATACTTGCCACTAAGTAAAGGTCTGTTGAGTGTATAAAGAGGTGGTAGATCTTCTATCTCTGCTATCCTCTGGTATACGGCTCTGGATAGATGATCCCCATGATATAAACTCCCCAAGATGATGCTAGAGAAGTAAACTGGCTCCACAAAGAGGCTAAGTAACGCTCCTTGAATACCCAAAACGTTCCACCTAAGAGGGAGGGAAAAACAAAACAAAACAAAACAAAAAAAACACTTTCTTTTTAATGGAACAAGGAACATCTGCCAGACATAACAGCAGTCAATCACAACAGACTAGACTTTGAACCCTTCCTCTTGACCAGCACATGACTGTGGTAGCACAGCTGACACCTGCCAGAATATCAGAGATCAGCTTATAGGATGCCCAATGAAATCCAGAGTAAGATGACCTATAGCAACAGGTCTACTGTCAGCATCCACTTCAGGAGCAGTCTCCATGACTTTATTTCCCCACTGACTCATCTGATGATGCATTTTCCAGCAATCTAATGCCAGAGATAGACAGGATCATTCAACCAGAGAAAGCAAAACTGTGAGATTCTCTGTCAGAAACAGTAGCTGATGCCTCCAAAAGACACCTGGCAGCAGGCAAACCATCCTTCCCAGAACACAGAAGGATTGTGTCTGCAAGACCTCAGGACCGTAAGGGAAAGCTTGTCTTTGACACCCCAGCCAAACTGTCTGCCAGGAAGGACATATGTAGTTGCTCACAATATCCATGGGCAGGGAGAAAACTGATTCTGAAACCTGAAAATAGGAAGAGTGCATATACTCTTTGCTCACTTCGCTTCATAGACGCCAACCACAAATCCCTGTCTGCACCAATGTGACCTACACTGGCTCAGGTCTGGTGGCAGGGATTCTGTGTAGCTGTGTTCATTTGATGAAGTTTTGGCTATCAGCCTGCATGTAACAGTCATACAAAGTACTTTCTCAAACCTCAAAGAGGTTTTACTGTGGAGTATTTTCACTGTCCTTGTCTCTGAGGTATACTTGCAAGCAGCTTGGCACTATGAAAACAGCACGCTTGAGTACAACTGCAACACCCAGACACAAGCAGCAGAAAGTTTCTTCTGGTGCTTGAATAAAACAGATGAGCTCTCACACTCTTGCAGAATGGTTTGTCCTTATTAAAGGTCCATCCTAAACCACGTGGCAAGGTTTCCTTAGGAAAATGGGAAACGTGGATGTTGCTAGTAATGTTTCCTGCAGCTTGTGCTGGGATGGCATGGCTTACACATCACCACCAGCTCAGGCTAGAAACCATACAGCTGCTTCACCACTGCAAAACCTGAACTACTAAAATGTTTAACAGGAAAAAAGAGCAAAATAAAAATCCCAATCCAAGGAAACAACTGCTTTGTGTATCTTCACTGAGGATGAAAATGGAGGCAATGTGCACTAGCTTACTCACCTGTCATTAAAAAAGCTGGCCCTACTGAATAAAAATGCTATGCCAATAAAAAATAAAGCAGATTTTACAATGAATAAAGGCCTATTTTGTATAACACTGAAAATGCAATCAGCAACCAGATGACAGAGGAAAGATATCAAGTGAAAATTATTGCTTCCCAGGACTAAGATACTTTTCCAAGGACCACACCATGATAGAATTTTGTAAGCACAGAGGTATTTCAAGTGACACATGAATTGTAGTAGTATTTTCTTGTTATTTGCAGTGTTACCTATGTCAAGCATAAAGAAGCATGTGGACTGCTACAGACAGATGATATTATGGAAGAAACATCTGGGAAGAATTCAAGACTGAGCATTGCAAACTGGGGTCTTACAAAAGTAGCTGAAACTTGCAGTCACACACTGAGCTTCCTTCAGTAAGGCACATCACAGGTTACCTTTCATGAACAGTATTTGAGAGACAGATGGACATTTTAAAAAAAGCCAAAGCATTTCTCTGGCAAGCACTAGCTTCCTAAATAAAACCTTTGCCAGACCCTTTTCCTTGCTTCAGTCTCCAGTATTTCCAGAGCTTGTGTTTTGCTGCTTCCTCTCACACTTAGAACCATAGAATGGTTTGGGTTGGAAGGGACCTTAAAGCTCATGCAGTTCCATCCCCCTGCCACAGGCAGGGACACCTTCCACTAGAGCAGGTTGCTCCAAGCCCCTGTGTCCAACCTGGCCTTGAACCCTGCCAGGGATGGGCCAGCCACAGCCTCCTCTGGGCACCCTGTGCCAGCGCCTCAGCACCCTCACAGGGAAGAACTTCTGCCTCAGAGCTCATCTCAGTCTCCTCTGTCAGGTTAAAGCCATTCCCCTTGTCCTGTCCCTACAGGCCCTTGTCCAAAGCCCCTCTCCAGATATCCTTGAGTTACTTGGTGTCCTTCCCTGCACTGAAAATGAAAGCTGTAGTCTGCCTTGTAAACTTCTTTTAATTAAAAGAGGAGGAGCGTGGACACAGAGTAGAGTGGCTGCAAGGACAAGGTTTGCAGCAACCATTCATACAGCCAAAACCGCAAGCTCTTACTATTTATTAGGCAGGGTTGGATGGTGGTTAGCTTTATAAAAATAGCTTTAAATGTCAACGGCTATAATAAAAGAACATATAATTAGCTATAGAAACATATACTTGTATCAGAAACTGTCAGTAACACAGCAGTAAACATGAAACCCAAATGCAGATTGTAACAGAGTCAAAAGGGAAGGATTTATAAAGATTTTCTTGTGTTCCTTTTTTTATACTGTACTTCTTCCTGTCAAGCAGTAATTTCTCACTTTCATTAGCATGTATACTAAAAACAACCTTTCTAGATATAAACTGAGAAGTAGCTACACCAATACCACGCATCAGTTTCCTGAAGGCCACAGGCATTTGATTGCATCCTGAAATGGTAAAACTGCCTCGTCCTTCCAGTTTACAAGCACAACTTGTCAGAATGCATGCCAACAAATGCTGTCAATCTAGTACTAAATGTTTACTGAAGACACAAATTCTTTTGTAGCCAAATTCGATATCTCACTTCAAACCATGAACTGCAGAGCAGAAAAAGCAAATTCTATTACAGAAAACTTGAATAAAGTCAGTGTTGCCTTTCCAGTGCAACAATTAACCAAAGGATTTTTTCTGCACATTAAAAACACTATCAGAAAAGAGTTAAGGAGCTGAAGCAACTTAAATCTAGCTTTCAACTCCAACCTTCCAGGGCTCAGATGTAGTTTATAACATAGAAATGAACCTTTCCTGTGCCATGTCACACTGCACTAGAGCAGACAGACCCTGGCCACAGCACAATGCTCATTTAGGAGCATCTGGTGGCTCAAGAAGGTGATAACAGAAGACAATTCTCCCATCACTAGTTCCACAGGCTCATCATTCATTTGCAGGGACACTTCTACTGCTCAGCATCAAATCAGACCCATGCTGGGCAGGTGATGTGTGGACACCCATCTAGCTGGGTCATTATCTGGCAGAACAAAGGAGCAGAGATGACTTAATTCAGCTAACTGCAATCTGGTTTCTTTTCTGACTTTAAATCTGATTTCTCTTTGTTTCCTTAAGGGATTAACTGAATCTCTATGACCAGCCTATGCCTTTCATGAGTCACAGCATAAACAGGCAGCAACATCTTTACTGAGTGGAGTCAAAGCTCCCTCTACGTCAAGCGGCTTAGTCAGCGGCCCACAGCATAAATCAGTCAGGGCACAAAGTCCATGGTCTTCGACAGCAGCACTTCCTGCAAACATCTTTTCATTTATCCTGAGGTCACATTTGCAGTTACAGCCAAGAGAATCTGCTTTCCCTTGTAGCTGTTCCTGGGCTGGCAAGCACACAGCTCTGACCTGTCCCAGCTTTTCTGGCGTTGCCAGGATTTGCTGCATACCACAGTGAGCATGGGTCAAGACTCAGGTCACTGGTTTGAGAGGTTACATGATGCTACTTCTGGTTATTTAGATGCTACATCTTGGGTAGTGATTTCCTACCACTTCCCCACAGGTTTTTTTACCTAGGTGTCATGCAGCCAACACGTATCATAGGATCCTAGAATGGTTTGGGATGGAAAGGACCTTAAAGCTCATCCAGTGCCAACCCCCTGCCATGGGCAAGGACGCCTTCCACTAGAGCAGGTTGCTCCAAGCCCCTGTGTCCAACCTGGCCTTGAACACTACCACAGCTTCTCTGTGCCAGCATCTGACCACCCTCAGAGGGAAGAATATCCAAGTGAATACATTCACATGGCCACTGTCACCTGGCTTAAGAATTGATGAGGAGAATTGCTCCTTCTATTGCTGTCCAGAAATCCCACTGGCTCTGTCATGGAGTTTGCCACTTAGAAATAACTCTCCAACTCGAAGACAGATGGATGGGCATGGACATAGCTTTAGTGAGCATGCCTATGATTTTAAGATGCATTGGTGCAACTTCAAAGAGAAAGATTGAGTTACAAACTTTCATTCTGAATGTTTCATGAGAATTTAAGTAATTATTTGAAGCCAAGTAACTTAAAATGAATGGGGGTGGAAAAGCACATCAAAAGGAGGGTGATAAAACCAGACATCATAAAGTACCACAGAACAAGTTTAGGATACATTGAAAAAAAATGCATGTATATTAATCTCTCAAAACAGTTACTCTGGTCACAGAAAGTGCCCTAACACCACACTGCAGTGCCACTAGGCACTAACACACCAGGATAATCCTGTTCTAGTGCTTCTGACCCAAATGGGAACACACTCATGGCCTTTCCACGTTTTTCTTAGATGTTCCTACCAGGCTCAGGAAGGTGCTCAGCAGCACACTGCATCAAAGCACTCAGAGGCTGGAAATAATAGCTTGGATTATACATATATAATCCACACAGATGAGGCCGTTCAAATACAAGACTTTTCCTGCTCGTGCAATCCTGCACCCTGAATTTATCCACGTCTTTTCCAGGCTGGGACTGTGAAGCTTTGGGAAAGCTCAGTGGAAATTCACAGGGCTCAGGCATACTGGAGGGCTGAGCGCTGGACACTCCAGAGCAATGCATTCTTTAAAAGGTAAAATGGACAAAGCACGGTCAGAAGTGTCAGGGAAATGTAAAAAAAATAAGGAAATTAAAAAAAGAATATGAAAATTTGGGCCTCCTTACCCGTCATACAGTCTGTGTTCTGTGTCAAGGGGTTCTATTTGCTTCCTTCACTGGCACAAACAAAATTATTCCCATTAGCCCCAAGGAGAGGTGACAGCTAGCTAGGCAAGCGAGAGATGGAGTCTGTTCTGCATCACACAAAATCAACAAAATAGTCAAATGGGTTCTAGCTCAACAACTGGCTTCATTTCTTTGTCATTTGCACTAACAGCAACGATGATGTGATAAAAGAAATCAACTGAATGGGGCACAGTTACCATGTGGGGTGCTTGGGAGAAATCCCTGGCATGAGGCTGGGGAATTTATTTGGTGAATTTGATGGAAAATATCCTAAAAGAAACTGAAATGGCATTTTTGTAGAATTATCTGTCCTAGCTTCTGAAAGGCTCTATCCAGTTATGATTAGTTTTAAACTAAAGTAAAACATCTTCCTTCAGTAGAGATGCTGATTACTTGAGACAAGACTAGAGGAACAAAGTGACTCCATAACCTTCCTGCTGCCTTTTTGATGTGGCATATGCTGTTCACAAGAATAGTTCCACTTAACACACTTAATACATTTTGAACTGTGACTTGACAAAACAGCAGACCTATTTTCATTAGAATGTAAGTAAAATACCATCAGCTGAAATACTCATTTCTCATCTAGTTTGCAAGAACACAGAGGCTGCAAACACACAGATTCATTTCAAGATGCTGCAACTCTCCTATATTCTGATACTTGTTAAAGGACACTGCTGCTAAACTTTTTTGGGGGGGTAATTATTTGTCTATTTATGGTTTTGAACAAAAAGAATAAATCTTACATTCTTTGTCAAAAAGGACAAAGAAGAAGGAATTGGATAAAATATAAATAAAAGCACTAGTGTTGGAAACTAAATATCTAATGATAATCTAAGTATTTAAATTAAAATAATTTTAAAGTTATAAATTAAAAGTGCCCATCAATGAATATTTTTTTAACTGGAACACTTTCTCTCTGTATAAAATGATGCAAATCTAAGTCTATCCATGCAAAATGTATCTATCTTTTGATATCAAAGAATCACGAAATCGCTTAGGTTGAAAGGAACTTTAAAGCTTATCCAGTTCCAACCCCCTGACATGGGCAAGGACACCTTCCACTAGAGCAGGTTGCTCCAAGCCCCTGTGTCTAACCTGGCCTTGAACACTGCCAGGGATGAGGCAAAGGATGTATATCAACAGAGGAAGTTATCCAAATATAACTAGTGTAATGTATTTATTGCGTTGTTTTACTAATGCTATACTACTCTCAGGAGAAGGGGAAAAAGAGGCATTCCTCTTCTATTTCCTAGTGATATAAATACAAACCAAAGCTGTCATGACTTGAAGTGGCTGGAATGATACATTATGATTTCACCTTGCCTCTGAAGCCAGCAGAAGGTCTGACACCAAGAGCAGGTGAAGAACTAGAGCTTTATCACTGGAGTTAAAGCCACCCCCACGCTACATCTAAGCAATGAAATAAGCAAACCAAGAACCTGCCCGTTCACTATAGGTATCATGCAACCCTCCTTGTTCAGCAATAAAAAGCAGTATCAAAGAAAGCAATCGTTCCATATCTCACCTCGCTATCTTGTCACTGCAGGACATGGTAAGTAGCCTTTCTCCTTGCAACACACCATCCCACGTCTGGATAGTGGTAGTGGAGCGCACAGGGATGGTCCCTTCCCCAGATTCTATCTTTGTCCGTAGCTGTCCTCTTGCTTTGCGGTTTGGATGCCTGTCCCCTTGATCTAAATGATACAAAAATCGCTTACAATCAGTTGAGGAACATTCTCAAAGTGTTTTACAGACAGCATTACAATAAGAGGAGTCAATTAAAGGTATTTGCCTGCTGGCTTGCATACGAATTTCTATTGCTCCTTGAAAATGAGCTACAGCATCAGACATCTCTCAGACTGTCTTCTAACACACGCTTGCAACGAAACCAAGCTTTCCACAAAGGAGCAGTACACAGCAGGGAGCTCTTCAATTCTGTTCTGCATATTACAGCATTAGAACAAAGTTAACAGACAGATCAAGAAAGGGGCAGGCAGAAAACTACTGTTAAAAGCTGGAAACAATGAAAGGGTTTGGTTAGTTCTGTACAAATACTTGCTGACTCACTGGCTTATCTCGGCTGGCTTTCAGCCTCTTCAAGACCACATGGTGGATCAGTCTACACTGAACTTCTATCACACAGGAAGAACAGCTCAGATTTTGTTTGGAAGAGATCTTTGTCTAAACACACATCTACACTAAAAGGAAAGAAGACAC